CCTTGGAAGGATATCTTCGCGAAATGCAGAAACTGCATTCTGTCGCGAAATATCCAGATATTTGCTCGTGAAATATCCGGATATTGATATCCGGATATGTGTATCCGGATATTGATATCCAGATATGGGAATCTGGATATCCAGATATTGATATCTGGATATTTCTAGATGGATATCCGGATATGTCCCGACGAATATCCAGATATTCTGGGATTTCGTAGAACAGTAGCTGTGCTGTGTGTACAGTAGGCTATTGGGGGTTTGTGGACCCTAGATTGATGAAGTTGAACTTCTGTAATTAATAAACTAAGTCAGAATCATGTGATTAAGGGCTTGCGGCTTTGTGTGAAGCCTTAAGACGTAAAACGTAAAGAAAGGCGTTGTCTTTAAGTTGTATGCTGGTAGAGTATGTTTATTGATATATTATTGGTCCATAACAGATTGTGATATTGCTGTGTTTGGACTTTGAGCTTGTGGCATTGGATAGCTAGCTTAGAGGTAAGCTTTCGTGTCCTCGGTTTAGCCATGTTGTGGTTCCACCATGTCCAATGGGGGTATGGTTATATGCATGTTGTGTTACATGCTTTTAATGTTTTGAAAATGCTATTGAGCTGTTATATGCTAGTGCCTTTATGATATGCATGTGGTGTTCCACCTATACGGTAAGCCTGAGTATGTAGCACATACGATATGGTGAGGCTGTGGGTGAGGTGCAAGCGGTGTTCCTTGTACTACATGTAGGTATAGACGTATTCCTGCATTTCTCTGGCCAGTAGAATAGTTTAAACACACATGGCATGAATACCTGTTGCACTGCATAGTTTTGAAACTTATATTGATATAAATGCTTTTAGAACTTATATTGCACATGTAAGTGAGCTTGGGGTGGAAGATCCTTGAGGACCCCTTGTCTTACTGAGATTTCTGGTTTAGAGATCTCACCCCACGTTTGGGGAATGCTTTTTTCAGGTTCAGGTAATGTTGGGATTGAGACCTCAGGCGGCAGGAGGCCAGAGCTGAGTTAGATATTGCTGTTATTATATGCTGACTTGTTGGATGCTGGTTATGCGTGCTGCTTTTATGCTTTTAGCTTCTTTATGATTTTGGATTATTATGTTGAGACTTGGTTGTTTATGCTATTGATTTGGTGAGCATGGGGATTGTTCATGCCACGTAGACTTGATTATGTCTTGTTTTATTTAGAGTTGTATTAATGTATCAGGATACTGTCCGGACTACGAGTTGTAGATCCGTGACTTAGATACTCACTTTATATTTATATATTGAGGTATTTCAGTAGATGTCTTATTGCAATTTACGTACAGGCGATATTTTATGAAATTGATTAAGTAATCAACTTGGCTAAGTATAATGACGTCATAAATGATAAGAAAAAGATATTCCGCATTTTTAATTAAGCGCGGCTTAATACGATGTAATGATAATATTCCGGGTATACACGGGGTGTTACAGTAAGACCATAGATCCCAAAGTCAAGGAAGAGTTAGCCAGATTTCTAAAAAGTAACATAGATATTTTTACGTGGAAGTCATCAAAGATTCCTGGCATAGACCCAACTTTTTGCTTCCACAAGCTGGCAGTTTACCCGGGATCACAGCCAGTTTCTCAAAAGAAAAGGAAGCTGTGGCCAGAAAGAAAACAAGTTCTGGAGGAACATGTGAAGGAATTACTGGATGTCGGGTTTATTCGTGAAATACAATATACAACCTGGCTTGCAAATGTCGTTAGGGTGAAAAAATCTAATGGCAAATGGAGAGTCTGTACTGATTATACAGATCTAAATAAGGTATGCCCAAAGGATTCTTATCTTATGCCTAACATAGATTAGCTAGTGGACAACTCAGCTGGATTCCAATTGCTATCCTTCATGGATGCTTATTCGGGTTATAATCAGATTCCGATGTATCCTGAAGATCAAGAGAAAACTGCCTTTATTGCTGAAAAAGGCCAATTACTGCTACAATGTGATGCCATTTGGGCTTAAAAACTCTGAGGCTACCTACCAGAGAATGATAAATAAAGTGTTTGAAGATCAACTGGGCAAGAATGTAGAAGTATACATCGATAATATGATCGTCAAAACTTTCGACGTTGCCAACCATATCCGAGATCTGGAACAGACATTCCAAAAGCTACGAAAATACGATATTCGTCTGAACCCGGTAAAATGTGCTTTTGGAGTTCCAGTAGGAAGATTCTTGGGTTTCATGTTAACCCATAGGGAAATTGAAGCAAACCCTGGTAAGTGCAAAGCAGTGCTTGATATGAAAGCACCCCAAAATAAGAAGGAGGTTCAGCAATTGACTTGTAGGTTGGTTGCGCTAACCCAGTTCCTACCCAAGTCTGCTGAAAATGTCCTCCCATTTTTCAAATTACTAAAGAAGGAAGTTGTGCAAGGATGGAACCCAGAATGTCAATCCGTGTTCGATAAAGTTAAGAAATGCTTGGCAACCCCACCAGTTCTATCTAAGCCAGAACCAGGAGAAACTCTAATCCTGTACTTGGCTGTGGGGGAAGAAGCTATAAGTGTTGTCCTGATAAAGGAAACTAGCAAAGGACAACAGCCGATTGACTTCGTCAGTAGGGTCTTGCAAGGTCCCGAGTTGAGGTACCAGAAGCTGGAAAAAGTGGCCTTCGCCTTGCTGATCACGACAAGGAGACTACAACCATATTTTCAAGGACACTATATAATAGTCCGAACTAATCAGCCTATACGGCAGGTCTTGCATAAACCTGATCTGGCAGGAAGAATGACCAATTGGGCAATTGATCTCTCTGAATACGACATAACATATTAAAGTCGGAAGGCCATCAAATCACAAGCTTTTGCCGACTTCGTAATGGAGCTCACCCCGGCTAGTCCAGAAATGGGAGAAGATGAAGATACTTAGAGGGTATATGTAGATGGATCCTCCAATGACAAAGGAAGTGGAGCTGGGATCATACTTGAAAGTCCAGAAGGGGTAGCAATAGAACACTCCTTGAACTTGGATTTCTCAACTTCCAACAATCAAGCAGAATATGAAGCCCTAATAGCCGGGTTGATGCAGGCTAAGGAGCATGGGGCTTAAAGAGTTAAAATCTTTAGTGACTCCCAATTAGTGACTTCTCAGATAGAAGGGAAGTATCAAGCAAAAGGCCCTTTGCTAATGAAATACCTAAACAAGGTCCGAGAAATGATGGCTGAATTTGAAGAAGTAAAGGTCACTCACATTCCCCGAGGGGAAAATAGCCGAGCTAACATCTTGTCTAAATTGGCAAGTACAAAAACCCAGGAAACCACAGAACCATGATGCAACAAAGCAGAACGGAGCTAAGTTGTGTGATGATAATCACCTCGGCAAATGATTGGAGGATACCTAGAAAAATGGACGTTTCCTGAGGACACGTTGGAGTCCAGAAAGCTGGTCCGGGATGCAACACAATCTGCAATTGTGGATAACCAGCTGTATAGAAAGGGGCTGCACACCCCTATGTTAAAATGCTTAAACTCGGAAGAAGCAGGATATGTGCTAGCCGAGATACATGAAGGAATCAATGTTCAACACATGGGGGCAGGGCTCTGGCTAGAAAAGCCCTCCGAGCTGGCTATTACTGGCCAACCATGGAGGCAGACTCCAAAGAACATGTCAAAAAATGCGACAGTTGTCAGAAGCATGGCAGACTGATTCTCTCACCACCAGAGGAACTGAAATACATCTCGGCTCCATGGCCCTTCTTCAAATGGGGGATGGATTTGCTAGGACTCTTCAAAGCTGCGGAGGGACAGTTGAAGTGGCTAACTGTGGCAGTAGACTACTTCACTAAGTGGATAGAAGCAGAACCGGTTACCGCAATAACTTTGGCCACAGTACAGAGGTTCTTTGAGAGGAACGTCGTCTCTAGGTTTGGAATACCAGCCGAGGTGGTGATTGATAATGGAACAGTGTGCTGATAAACGGTTCCAGGAATTGATGAAAGACCTGAAGGTCAAACACCGCTTTGCATCTGTGGAACACCCACAGTCAAACGAGTAAGCTGAAGCCGCAAACAAGTGTTTCCTGCACTAACATCACTAACAACGATTGTCGTGCTTAGCTTTTTTTTCTTCTTTAAATTCATGGTCCCATCTAAAACTGTGTCAGCAGGAATTTGATCTGCATTCCTGTAACATGATACTCGCAACCCCCTTATATAATACAATCTAAAAAAAAAAAAAATCCTAAAAGGAAAGATTAGTCTTTTATCGGAGTAAGAAAAAAAAATCTTACCATCAATTAGGGCAATTGACTCACTAATATCCAATAGCTGACATACTTTAAAAGTTAAAGTCATTAGATGTTAGTATGATCAACAATCAAAATTAAACGCGTAATTACACAAATATAAAATTACATTAAAATGTATGTTAAAAAAGAGGTTATACTTATTTTTTTTTTATTACCTCTTACTACTAAATCTTAACCGTTGATTTACGTCAATCTAACGGTTGTAATTTATGGAGTCATACTTATTAATAAATTATTAATTTCCAATGAATTATAACTGTTAGATTGACGAAAATTAATAGTTAAAATTTGATAATAAGATATAGTAAAAAAAAATAGATAGGAAGTATAACTTTTCCCGTGAATAAAGTGATTATACCCTTTCAATTGGTCGTGTCAATATATATATATATATATATATATATATATATATATATATATTTTATTTATTTATTTTTTTATTTTTTTATTTTTTTTTTTTCTAACAGGAAGAAAAGACAAAAGCGGGAAGGCACAATTCATCAATAACACAGTCTCCCAACGAAAATTGATAAAAACAGAAATTGCATAGAACATTGAACTAAATCAGGTAAGTAAGTACATGAGGAATTGGAAGTCGACACGTGGCGGATTAATAATTTATTCACTAATCTAGAATTTTCCCTTTTATTCATTGTTCCTTTTTTTTTTTTTTCTTTTTCTCTCCCTGTCAAAACTGATATCTAATTGGTTTCATGGAACGGACTTTGAATTATAACCACCAATGCCAATGTCATTAGGAAAAAACTTGGTCCAGAACCAGTGTGACTTCCACACTCTATTCATTTCTTCAATTGGGACATTTTTGGTCTCAGGTAAGAGCATGGCAATGAAAGTGGTCATGATGACCACAAAAGCAGCAAAGAAGAAGAATAGACCAAACTTCAAGTGGCAAAGCATTGTAAGAAACACTTGAGCAATGATAAATGTGAAGAGCATGTTCACTGCAACATTGATAGCTTGACCTGCTGGTCTAACCTCAAGAGCACATATTTCACTTGGCACCAACCAACCCAATGGACCCCAAGACCAAGCAAATGCTGCAACATATGCACATATAAAGAACAATAGAATGTCGGCTTCTCCTTTGCCAAATGATCCTTCACCATTCACCCCAAACTTTGAAGCAATCATGACTCCCACAATAATCTACAAGCAAAGATCATAGCTTATCAATTAATCATTCCAATGCACACAAAAAATAGGTTTTGAGCCTAATGCTAGTGGCCATTGGAAATGTTAAAAAGCATTAGACTTATTTCCCTTAATCAGATATCTCGAGTTTGAATACTGAGAGTAACAAAAATGATATTGGGAGAATCGCCCTTTATACAGTCTGATTGTATTCAAACCGGACTAGTCAAGTTTTAGATAAATTAATTGAAAAAAATAAAAAAGAATTAGACTTTTCACCTGACAGATAAACATTTGGACGCCACCTTCAAGAAATAATATCCTTCTTCCAAACTTATCAACTGTGAAGACAGAAACAAGTGTGGCAATAACATTGACACCACCAGTGATAACAGCAGACATGAGGGAAGCATCATTACCGAAGCCTAAGATCTTGAAAAGGACAGGAGCATAAAACATGATGACATTGATGCCAGTGAGTTGCTGGAAGAATGGAATCAAAGAGCAGAAAGTGAGTTGAGGCCTATTCTCTGGTTGTGCAATGTTCTTCCAAGGATTATCCACCTTACTAGCTGCTTCACTAGCATCAACAAGGTCTTGATATTCCTCATCAACATTATTAGTGCCACGGATCTTCTGCAACATTTCCTTAGCTTTCATATGTTTGCCTCTTTCAATCAAGGAGTTAGGTGTTTCATCCAAGCAAAGAGATCCTACACATAGCAAAATTGCTGGTACAGCTCCAATCCCCAAAGACATTCTCCATCCATTTTGATGCTTTGAAGTACCATAGTTGATAAGGTTTGCAATTAGGATACCAATTGTAATCATCATTTGGAAACCAATGTTGAGTGCTCCTCTGATTTTTGCTGGAGCCATTTCAGACAAATAAACTGGCACAGACTATTTTGGGAAAATACAACATATTGAAGTCAATTATTATTTTTCTTTTCAACATTGAAATGTTAATTAAAGAATATAATTAGGACCATGTGATCATGCAAATTTTATAATTACCTGATTACAATATCCCACACCAAAGCCTAGAAGTATACGACCAATGATGAGCATTTCAATGTTAGCAGCAAATCCATTTAGTAGTGCACCAACAAGGAAAAACAAGCCACCAATAAACATTGAGGGCTTGCGTCCAAACCTTCTTGTTGTAAGGGAAGCAAAGAAAGAGGCTATCAATGCTGCAAGGTATAGAGAAGAGGTGAACAATGTAAGAAGTTGATTGTCAAATTTGCAATACTGATTCTTGTTACTTGTTTCATCTTTCATTTGTTTATACACAGCTGGGAAGAACTTTATCAAGAATGGTTCCATTGAAGTAACTCCTCCTGTAATACCAAGATCATAACCAAATAGAAGACCTCCCATTGCAGCCACAAAACATGTAATCAACACAAATGCTGTGACCTTTCCCTCATAATGACGAACTCCACTTGAATCAACAAATGTGCCACCTGCCATCTTTCAAATTCTGTAATTATCACAAATCTCACTTTGGTAACGTAAAATTACTACAAAGAAGTACAACACTAGTACTTTGTTTCTGTTCCTCGTTTTTACTTTCCTTTCTTCTTTTGTCACTTGTTTTAGTTATATATATATTCATGCTTTAATAGGTAAAGCATTGAATGTTAAGCGGTTAAAAAAGGGTCTAGCCTAAAATAGCTTCCGGTTGTCACTAAGCCACAACTTTTTGTGTTTAAGCATTGATTGATAAATGTCATCTGAATTTGCTAGAAAATAGGGGTCAAATAAGTTCTTACCCCTAAAGTTTTATTAAGGAGAATTAAGGTGGTGGTTTTCATGTTTTGACTTTTTCCGAACTGTTTCCAACTTTTTCTTACACTGTAGTTCGTGTCTAACTTCTTGTGAGAGATGGCTCAGAGACACTAGGCTCACATTAGTAGCTTAACGAGATAAGATCTCTTTACAAATTTTTATTTTGCAAATTACACTAAGTATGACCGGTCGTACACTGTATGATTAAAGTATGACCGGTCGTACTTAGTATAGTTTGTAAGAGTTGGTAAACAAAAAAGTTTGTAAATATAACCTGCCCCTACCTTAATATTGCATGAATGTACTCATGAGAAGAAAGAATGGGAGTGTAAACTACTATCACGATTATTTGTGACATGCCTTGATTTTAAATAAAAATTGAATAACTTCAACACACCTTTTTTTTTTATTCACAAACTGAAAAACTCTTGTTTACAGCATTTGATGTGATTTTTAATAGGTTGGATAAATAGAAATGTATATCTCTTACAATATAAAAATCAAATTTGAGATAACATCTATAAAAAAAATTATTTACAAATCTTCATCTATATTTTTTTATTTGACTAAAATTGTAAAAATAATCACAAGATTCGACCTACAGTTTTCTTCAAATATTTTATGTCAAAAACTCGGTAATTATTCTCACGAAAAACAAAGAAAAAATAAGTTACAAAAAATTCTTATCTGCTTTGCTTCTAAATATATTTGTAGTGTTATTTTTTATTTAATTTGGATTTGTTCTTGGAACGTTGGCCCCATTCTAAAAATGGAATCGAAGACTTTTAAATGAATCTTATCGGTTGATTGCAGCTTGTTTTAGTTATGTTTATTAAAGCTAGAACATTTAAATTCAAAGTCTGCACTTCATATAATTACTACATTGCAACTATTCATCCTAGCAAGTGAAAATGTATATAAATATGAGGAGGGTTACGTTTATAACTTTTTTTGTTTATAACTCTTACAACTTCAACTATGTTCTCCTGGGAGAACACTTTCCATTAGTATTCTCTCGAGATAACATAGTTGAGGTTGTAAGAGTTGTAAACAAAAAAAATTATAAATGTACCATGTCCCTATAAATATAATGTCCTTATTAAATAATAATAAAAATAGTTGAATTGAACAATTCAGTGACATATTAAGACATATTCCTTTTTATTCTTCACTTTTTTAAATGGGTAATTGTATTTTTATGTGGCAGCAAAAATCTTTTGTCTCCTGTACACTTAACTTGAAGTGGGACCCAAGAGGAAAGAGAAGAAAAAAAAATAAAAAAGAAATGACACATGTATCAATGTATGGACAGTAGATAAGAAAATTTTTATGTTGCATAAGACTAACATTGCCCTTTTTAAATATAGAAATTACTTTTTTGCTTTTAAATTTACTTTTGAGGCATTCGTTAAAAGGTTTAATTTGTCCTTTAACATTACAAGAAAAAATTTCTTACACACATAATATTTTGTGGGGTTCACACTTTATAAAGCAACAAAAAAAAAAATTAATGCACGCAAAACGAATCTCTATAACATTACACAATCACTCTTCTTACAACATAACTCTTATAAAACCCTTCGTTAAAACGGGTTAATTTGTTAGAAGTTCATAACATATGATTTGGATTGCTGTAACGTCCAAAACTTCCTCATTGTGCAGTTCAAGAAATTGTTCCAAAATAACTGCCATAGCAGATGAAAGAACGCTACTCAAAAATAACTTCCTCTTTGTTATTTATGGCCTAATCCAATGGGCCAACCACTAACGAAAAAATAAGGGTTCACAGTCTCGTGTGCAGCACATCTTAAAACGTCACACGTGAGGTAAATGTGCTTGCCTTACACATAATGAGACCTATCAGGATAAAATGGTTATGACTCCTTCTATGACACATCATTGGAAAATGTTTCCCATCTATTTATATTGCGATTGAGGAGACATCTTCTACACAATATGCGCAAAGATGTTGCGCTGCTAAAAATCACACCTCAGTACTGTCTTTTGAGATTTGATCTATAATACCTCAAACTTAAGCATTTAATTGATTAATTTTAATTAAATAATTAAGCATATTTTAGTGAGTAAAATTAAGTATAAGGCTTAATTAAATGAATCTGAGTCACTTGGAGTTAAAAAGTGTACTCAGTAAAAATTAAGGGGTATAAATGGGTGTAGACAAAAGTACCCAAAATATAAAAATAAAATTAGAAACATTCCTAGAAAAATATTCCAGACTTTTGGGTAAAGTTTGGTAATTAATGGAGTTGAATAAATAGACGAACCAATACCCGCTTAAAGTCACTTAACCTATGTTAAGTGACTAAGACACCAAAAGAGCCCCATTTCCCACCCCATTTCCGTCGAGCCAGAGAGAGAAGCAAACAGAAGAAGAAGAAGAAGAAAAAAGGAAGAGAGAAGAAGAGAGAGAGGAGGGAGGAAACTTTAACCGTTTTGGGTGATTCAAAAGCCTAAACCACTTTAAATTTTCCCCTCTTTCATAATCCTAGCTTGGTTTTGAGTGGGAGTCCTTGTGGAGAGAGATATTGGCCCCCAAAGATTCGCCCCTTTTGAGAAGTGTGGGGTTTTGGGAGTTTCTACCTCCATGGAAGCTTGAGGAACACTCATTCCTCTATTGTGTGATCATTGGTGGTAAGTTTCCACTCTCTTTCACATGATTCTTGGAGATTTGCATGAGTTTAGGGTTAATGAATAGTGTTTTAGGGTTTTTATGAAGTGTTGAGTAGATTGGCTATGTTCAAGGAAGAATGAGGCTTAGAGTATGTTGTGAAAAATGCTAGGAATAACATTTAATCGGTAGAAATGAGTTTATAGTGTTATTTTAGTATGCTTTGATGTTTGGAGAAATCTAGGCTTGGAACTATGGATTTCCTTGCATTGTTAGCATTGTTTGATTGTATTCCTTGTGTTGATAGGATTGAGGCAAGAGGACCAAGTGGAGTGACCAACCGTTGGGGTTGTGTGCAATTGAGGAAAGCTCAAAGAGCAAGGTAAACCTTTGGACCTTGTGGTTGATCCCATTGAGTGTTCCACCATACTCCGTTGAGGAGAAATGGTTTATGAGATGTGATATGTACTTATGATAGTAATTGTATGCTCATGCATTGATACATGTTATGATTGATTGATGATTATTGGTTGATGTTTGATTGTTTAAGAGTAATTGAGGAATGGTTATAGAAGTAGCAATAATGAATGAGGTAATGGTTGAGGATTGTGATTGAGGTTATGAGTGATAGTATTATGATAAGGATGATTGGTAGGAACTTCCCTTGGAAACAGCCCTAGGTGGATCTCCATGTGGTTAGAGCCTAAGAGGAACAACCCTATGTGGATCCCTCTTGGAGGTTCCTAGATTGAGGAAAGGACTTCCCTTGGAAACAGCCCTAGGTGGATCTCCATGTGGTAAGAGCCTAAGAGAAACAGCCCTTTGAGGATCTCTCTTGGAATAGATTGAGGAAAGGACTTCCCTTGGAAACAGCCCTATGTGGATCTCCATGTGGTAAGAGCCTAAGAGAAACAGCCCTTAGTGGATCTCTCTTGGAAGTCCATGTGATGCTTGTGGATAAGAATGTGTTAAGCTATTATGATTATGTGTACATCGAAGTGGACCTTAGGGTGGAGTGATCTCCAAGGACCTCTGGTTTACTGTGATATATTCGTATATCTCACCCCGTGTTGTGGGGCATCATTTCAAGTACTGATAGAGGTGAGGTTGATCGAGGCAAGAAGCATGAGTAGACTGTACCTGATAGCTGGACATGTTGAGTTGCATGCCATTTAGCATTGCTATATGTATATTTTGATGCCACATGATGTATTTTGGAGGACTTAGTGCATGATCATTGTAGTAGTAATGGGTATCTGATACATGGTTACTTGCTTTGATCATGTTCATTTTGTAGCTAAGTCCTTTGGCATGTATATGAGATTTGTAATTAAGACATGATGTAATATTGTAAGTAATGAAGATATTTGTGTATGATGATTACTGTAAGTTAAATGCATGAATGTATTTTTATGTATTGGATATGTTGAGCTGGAAAGTCAATTAGGTACCTTGTGCTAAGTTGGGAAACGTTGAGAAAACAAAGGTTATGCTGCCCAATTTCCGTTAAATCAATGATGAGAGGATGAGAGTTAAGCAATGATATAGGGATATCACAAGCTTGTTAAATAGGTTGTAAAATGTGTAGGATTGATTCCCCAAGAAAGATGCATGAAAAATATTAGTATAGAAAATTGCCCAGAAGAGGGGGCTTAAGCCTGCAAATGGAGGCTTAAGCCTGCAAATGGAGGCTTAAGCCTGCTCAGGGGGCTTAAGCGCCCATGAGGGGGCTTAAGCGCCCTGATGCACCTGTGAAGACCAAAACTTTCTGCCGCCTGGGGCTTTAGCGCCCAAAATGGGGGCTTAAGCGCCCAGGTAGAGCGCTTAAGCGCCCTGGAGCGAGCTTAAGCGCCCTTGGTGGCTAAAAATGTAAATTCCCTCTGTCTGTGGGCGCTTAAGCGCCCTGGAGCGCGCTTAAGCGCCCTGCCCGCGTAGTTTTTCAGCATACGCTACAGAGCTCCAAATGAGGAGCGGTTTAAAACCACGCGTAGCTAACGAAGAGATCTACAATATAGTAGAAGTTGGGAAATAAATAAGAATTAAATTAATGTTT